ATAAGACACTGCTTCAGCAGTTTCGCAATGTATACGAATGTTTCCTGAGAACCGAACAACCCGCGGACGTTTGCACCGCGATGCGTTTGTCGTCTTCTACAGCTAATGCAGAAGTCTGCACATGCACGTCCTGTTGATGGTTACACACCTGGTCGGTTCCTATGCTACAGCTCCGCTGAGAACTCTCCTTGTCGTGTCCTCCCGAGACCGAAGGTTTGCTGCGCTGCTGCTGCTGCTGCTGCAGCTGTTGTTTCAGCTTAGTGACCTGTAGTGAACACAGAGTTATAATCAGTCCACATCGTATCGACAACATGCATACTCCTGGGGCATGAGTCACACACTGGTGGATTACATGCATATCTGCGTAGTGACGACTGAACGTTCTGCCGTTCGGACGAGATGATGTTTTAGGCTATTTGTGCAAATAACACCATGTGTATTGACAGTGTATGTGTGCTACTGTGAGTGGATGGACTGAGTGGTTTTACTAGATATACAACCTCAGGGTCGCAACCACACATGGGGTCACCTGATAATAAAAAAAAATTTTCAACAAATTATTCTTTAAAAAAATTAAATTATCCTTCATCATATCATCAATTATTATTAAAATTATCAAGGGCAATTATCAATTATAAAGGGCAGTGGAGGCTTAGTGGTTAAGCAAGTGAACTGCGGTCCGGAAGGTTTCACGTTTGAGTCCACCAGCTGCCAAGTTACCACTGAGGTGCGCTGAGCAAGGCACCGTCCCCACACACTGCTCCCCGGGCGCTTGAAGCTGCCCACTGTTCACTTTGGTGATGGGTTAAAAACAGAGGTCACAGTGTGTGTGTCACAATGATAAATAATTCACTTTCACTTTCTTTTCTTCTTCTTATGATTAAAAACACTCTGTGCTATAACCGAGTTCAGATCAAACACGGCACATAAAAATATCTGAGCAGGCACATCTTGATTGACAGCTGTGGTCACGGGACTGAAAAAAAAAAAAAAAAAAAATCTCTGCACGCACCGGAAATTTAAGATGTCAAAATCGGGGCTGGGAATCATTGCACTAAGATGTGATAAAAAATCTTATCTGTGTCATTGTGACAGCCTTCATTTTCAAATATGTTTGAATTAAGATGTGAAGATACTTTGGTCAATATTTTCACATTTTGACTTAGAAAACTTAAACTGTTCAGTGAGTGATCGACGGGGTCTCGATTGTGATACATCGAAGGTAGACGCTGACCTCTAGCAGATGTTCGGTGCTGCCACACGACGCCGAGCGTTTGTGGCTACTACTGCTGCTGCTGCCGCTGCTGCTTCCTCGCCTCCCGTCGGCGTTATCTGACCACGAGTCTGGAGTCTGAGGGGGAAAAAAAGAAAATCTATATTTTAATAGCCCAGATGTACTGGCCTTAAAAAGTACCGTACAGTACAGCACATGTTTTCTTCAGCAGAGATTCTACCCTCTTGTTGTGTTTTCTTATTTTTTCCTTCCGTCAACAACCTCCCTGTGGATGTAAATATTTACTAGAAAGAATCAAACCCAATGAGTCACACTGTTGCTACAGTTTGATACGACGCTGTTGCGTCCTTTTATATTCATTATGGAACCCATCAAAATGTTTTTGATTAAGTGTTCATATAGTTGAATGACTATGCAACGAGAACCTGCTGCTAAATCAACATTTTAAACGCAGAGACGGGAAACACTGACGTGTCCAAAAAAAAAAACAAAAAAAAAAACAAAAAAAAAAAACAACATTGATGTGCAGCCCTAATGACATCACACACACAATGCACCGACTCACTCTTCACACTTTTAGAAAAGTGAGAAAAAGAGACGAGGGAAACTGAAGAACGGCGACTTGGGGAGGAGGATGTGGGCAAACCAAGCACAGCAGTGGCAGCCGCCCCAACGCTGTGAGAAGCAAAGGACGGGTGCAGTCCCAACTGCATCTGCTGTCAGGGCTGTGGTTCTGTGCAGCCATCATAACACTTTACCTAACTATTCCGGTCTGGTCTAACACTTATGAAAAAAGTTGTTCCGTTAATGATTATATAAGAATATGGTTAAAACTATTTAAATGAGGTTTGCAATTCTTACTACACATTGGATCGATCTGACCAGCCTTCGTGGTATGCATGGGAATTTTGTAATTATTACTGTAAACAAGAGTCCGTAGCTCTTTTGGTAGCGGGCCGCAGTGGTGACAAAACGTCCTTCAGTTTGAGAATGTATTTCATTCAAAAAGAACCCAGTCATATCCAACAACAAAATGTCCTTCAGTTTGACTCATTTATTTCATTCAAAAAGAATCCAGTCATATCCCTTTACTTTTTTTCATTGAAATATAATCTGACAATGTTGCAAAACAACCAGTCATTCAGACTCTGATACTAACAAAATAAAGTCTAAAAAAAAAAAAAAAAAGAAAAAAAAAAAAAAAAAAAGTAAAAAAAAAAAAAAAAAAAGTTTTATTTTGAAAATTTAATGACCCTCCAACGATCGCGATTGCTGTAAAGCACCTTACGGTCGCCGTTTTTGTCGATGTAATTAATTAGCCTTACCGACGTGTTCCATCTCTCAAACTGACCTGTGTGGCTTTATCCTTGTAGGAGAGACAGCTGTGGCCTTCTGGTTCTTTCAACCATTGTCCCTGCAGGTATGGCCCAATAATGGCGTCCAGAGACATGGCCCGTCTGATCCCAGAGCTCAGCTGCTGGTGCAGTTTCATCTTGCCGGCTGTAAATATCAGGCCAACACACATTACAAGATGGAAAAAATGTAGCCTAACCTAGCTATGTCCATTTTTGTGGTTAAAATGAAGCAAAAAAATTAACTTTTTTGGAACTCCAACTTTTGATCGCAGTAAATTCGTACAATAACAATTTCCTGAAAAAGTCTTCAAAAACAAAAGTTTCTTAAACAATGATTAAAAATGTAACCATTTGCCTTAGAATGCTTTTTTATGTCAATTTTTATGGTTAAAATTCAGAAAAAAAAGTACTTTTTTTGGTACGCCAACGTTTGATCACAGTAAAATCCTATACTCATAATTTCAGTATGTCAAAAATGACCGAATGCACTAATCTGCCTTAAAATACTTGCTTCAACTTTATTATGAATTTTATCAATTTAATTATTTTTTAAATTAATTTTAATTGTATCAATATTATTATGTATTGATCCAGAAAATAAGAAACAAAAAACAGTGGACAATGAGGGAAATTTTATGGAAATAAAAGCAATGAAATTGGATTGAAGTACTTCTCTACTCTCTTCCAATCAGATCATAAAATTATAAAATGTCTTCGAAAATAAAAAAATAAAATTTAAATATTATTCTATAGGGTGTAATGGTGACTATACACTGTGAGAATAACATCAAATCGTGTCATACACTTACATCTAATCAGTCCCCAAAGATATTATCACCTGTCTATTATACTCTATTAGTAGTAGTAAACAGTAAAGTTTTTAACTTAAACTTAAACTTATCTTTATCTTTATCTCTTATCTTTATTAGTCATAGATACAACTTATTTCATTGCTTCATAAGCAACTTTTTTTTTGCATGTCTGAACTCAGGACTTGTTATGTTTATGCCCTTATCATGTCAACACACGACTGGTTGGAGCTATAACTCAGTCCTTCTGACTGACTTGTGTATGCTAGTAGCATTTATATACATTGTGTATTTATTTATTTGTTTCTCCTATTGGGGCCAAGTGCTGAGTTCCATACCTGACTTGCCATCCCTGCGGTGTGATGGTGGAGGTTTACTGGTCAGCTGATAGGGGATTGTTGCCTTCAGGGGCCGTGGAACCACAGCACTTCCCCGGCTCTGCACAGCTCCACTTTGGCCAGACATCCTCACCAGCCTGGACTGAGGTGGGGGTGCTCCGTGAAAACTATGGAAATGAGTTACCACCACCACCTCCTCCTCCTCCTCCTCCTTCGCTGCTACTGATGATGACTACTCTCCAGTTTGATCGAGTAAAAAACAAAAACAACAATCGAGTAATCACAGAAGTAGCAGCCGCAGCGACACTTATCCTCACAGGCGAGTCGTCTTCTACGATGTGGAGTTCAAGTTTTGAATGTTGAGCTTTAAATCCCTGGACTTGTGTGCGCGAGTTAGCGGCCGAGCTTCTTTGTGAGGATGTAGTAATATTTCACCCAGTTGTCGAACAAGGAAGCGGCTGTCGTTTCCAAAAGTCACTTTAACATGAACTCCTCCGTTTGCTGCTAACACTTTGAGCTGTTTTTCATTGAATTCTTCGTCGCGACGCGTGTTTTGCTGGCCCAGTCGGCTGAGCTGAGTGGCGACCAAACTCACAGCGGCCCTCCGAGTTCGAGCCTGGACGCAAACTTACAACTCTTTCAGAAGAGACAGCAACAGCACCACGCTGCAGAGGGTTTAAAGATGTGGGGGCGGACCCAGGGACGAGGCTAACATCTGATTGGCTGTTGAAGTTAAAGCTCATTGAGCCACAACCCATCAATCTTTTACAAGTCCGAGTGAAATTTTGCTAACGCGACCCCAGCTAACTTCTCTAAAAACTTAAGTACAAGCTTTAACTTGTACTGCTGTTTAATATTAACGGCGTTTTAACCTTAATTAATATTAAGTATTCATAATTAATTAACAACAATTCATTTATTCATTCGTCATTAAACGTATGCTTGTTAAGTATGCTATATGCTAATCCGTTACCGGTTTCCTGTAAGGCGTCAGTGCTAACCTCCTTACATTGTCCCAACACTAACATTAGCATCTACGGTTACATCAGGGTGTATTTGCCAACCCTAATCTACTGGTGTTTGTATTGCTAACAGCAATTTAGGGAATATGGTTGTGACAAGTGGCCATCTTGCTGTAAGTTCATCAGTGCTAACCACAATACCACTGTTCCATGTGGAGCAATCTCATTTGAATGTGTTTGCCTATGGCATACCCAAACAGTGTTGTAACAAATTCGGAATGCAGATAAGATATTAGATTTAATTTTGTTTTCTATGGATGATTCATACAAATGCGAAAAAATGTTTTTATTAGGCTCATCGCAATTGTGCAGGAGGCCAGCAAGGCAGTACTGAGGTGTGTTGTCAGAGTGACTGATGGGTTCAAAGTAGGGGTGAGGGTTACATCAGGGGTCAGAGTGCCTTTTTTGTTTCTTATGCTAATGGGCAGTTTGACAGATGAAGTCAGTCAGGGGGCTACATGGACCACCAAGACTAGGAAGCAGGTGGACGAAAACCTGGAGATGTGGAGGTTTGCTTTGGAGCAAAGCGCAATAAAGTTCAGGAGTTTTTGTGTGTGTGTGTGTCTTCACTATCTGGGTGGACCTGGGTTGTGTGCGCATATGAAACTGTGCATCGTGTGAGATAAATGTAGATGTTCTGAGTAGGAGGGCGCACCGTTGGTAGAAAAGACGATTGTGGTCAAGATGTATTCTAAGTAGAAGGGCGTACCGATGGTAGAAAAGACGATTGTGGTCAAGATAACACAACACGAAATTCAAACCTAAAGGAGACAAATGTTATTAAAAGAAAACGTTCTCAACTGGCCCTGGTTACATAATAACCTGCTTACTTGAATTGCTCTTCAAGTTTTGATCTTTCTCATCTGGCTTCTCATTCAGAGCAACTGCACCCCGGAAACTGCTGCGAACATATATCTCCACCAGTCAGTGTCCATTTATTTACAGCCTAGCAGTTAAATGAACTGTATGTCCATTTGGAATGCGTCTCCCACATAATGGATTTCTACCCTTTATCAAAGGACCGTCAGCTGCTGTTTGTTCAGCTCTGTGTACTTGTCTCCTTTAATGAACGAACGATCCTGACCTCTGACCTCACGTAGGCAATGTCTAGCATATGTAATGAGAGACGACCTTCTGTGTACACAGTCATGTTAGAAAGGAAGCATAGTTTGATAATAAAAAAAAAAAACACCAAAGTGAAAAACTGAGTGAGTGAAAAAATGTGCACATATTTGTGTAAAAGGTGTTGTTTTCAATAGCAACCTAGTTTGTTAGCATGTTAGCATTCAGCATTCCTTTGGGTAGCAAAATCCCCGTGATCTAATTTAGCATGCAATGCTAACTCTCTCGTCAAGCCAAATGATAAACATCAACAACACGCTATCGTTACAAAAAAAAAAAGGCAGATTTATTGCAATTTACAAGACACGCTATCGTTACAAAAAAAAGGCAGATTTATTGCAATTTAAAATAGCAGCGTAAAAAAAACATTTCAATGTAACAGATAGGCGATTGCAATTTGTCTGATGCTAAATATTTTATGAATAAACAGTCTCTGCAGTGGGACACGTCATGTTTTGTGCGAAAAGAACACGGTTGAGAAACAAAGAAAAACAAAGACCAAAAATCAAACGTCACAGGCATCTACACACACACAAACACGTTTACTATTCCCCTGCTGCTCACACTCCTCTGTCAAACCAGGTGTGTGGAAAACATTCATTCTGCATAGCCACAATGCAATTAGCATTTGTATGCAATATGTATTACAAACCTTGACGACCTCGTTCAGGGTCACACCCCATATTCCGACCTCTAAACTACTGAATGCTTAATTATAGTATCATGAAGCTGGGCGTCTTCTTTTTCAAACGAAACCTCGTCTAACATGTTCCTTTTTTATATTCTATTCTGTAATATAATGAAACTAAACATTCTTTCCGTTTTCCAAAAAAAAAAAAAAATGACAGGAGAATTAGATATGCAGCACTCAAAAGGACACATACATACAGAACGAGTCTATGATTAGCTCAGATAGTTATGACTTTCAAGTTTCAACCCATTATCTTTCTCACATTTTTAAAAAAAAAAATTAACAATAACAAACCTAAGCAACACAGACGAGAAACAAATCGGTTGGACAAGACAAGAGACAGTTACTGGCATTGCACAAAAATCAAGTATTATGAAGTAGAGGCAAACGTGTGCCAGGTGTTTGTACTGCCAGAGACTGAAAACAATGAGAGGACATGAATGAGGCTGTCTCTTCAGGCAGTACTGCAGCTGATACCGTCTTCGTGTGGCAGTCTTGCACAAGGAGGAGACCATTTGTATCCTTCTCTAAAGTTCAACCCTAGTATGGAGTGCACGTTTTGTCGGTGCGTCTTTGGCGCCCACTAGCTGGGAGAGAGGGCAGGACTGTTTTCTGTGCTGATGTGTACCAGGCACTCGCTGGACTTGAGGCTAGTTAGAGATTTGCAGCTTGGTATGGAGGCCAGGGAGCCACACAAACCCATCATGGAAGGGGTGTAGTCCTTTTCTAAATGGGTGCAGCAGAAACACACAGCAAGTGTCAGGTTCTGAATTTGAAAAAAAAAAAAAAAAAAAGTTTTGAAGTGTGTGTGTAAAAACATGTACCGTGTGATTGAGGTGAAATTCAAAAATGATATAATAGCATGGTCTGCAATTGTGAGCCATGACAAAATTCCAAATGCGTGAGCTACTGTGTGAGTCTTGTAAGAATTCATCCATAAAATATGTAATATAATATATATATTTTCAACAAAGGATTATATTATAATTCTGTTATTTCCCGAACTGTCTGTCAATAAGATGATCGTGCTTTTTGAAAATATCAAAATCTAAAAGATTTTAGATTTCAACACTTCAACTTTTCTGGATGTAAAGCCGTAAATTTTCCGTAAACAAAACTCTACATTTAATGTTGAATGATTGTTGTTGTTGTTTTATTTAAACCAAACGTGAAATATCAAAGTGTATTATTGTCCTGCACAATAACGCACAACTCTAAAAAGTAAACTCCTAAACCTAGATTGTGTGTCGTTTGTGTGTATGTTCACGGTGTGATTATAGAACCAGCCTCAGCGTCTCTGTTAAAATATGAGAATGCTAAAAAAAAACCAAAAAAAAAAAAAACCAAAACACTCACCTGTGCACCATGCTGCTCCTTGTCCTCGTCCTCGTCCTCCTCCTCCTCTTCCATTTTGTTTCTCTGAGTCTGAGTCCAGGCTAACCTCCACTGAGAGCAGCTCCGTACTGGGGAAACTCCTCCTGCATGTCAACACATGCAGAAAATGATGTGAATAGAGTAGAGTAAAGTAGAGAACATGTTCCACTGTTGACTAAAAAAAAAACAACAACATGTGCAGAACTGTACTCAAAGTACTACTCTTTAAATACAGAATACAAAAAAAACCAAAATGCGAACAAAAACTTTGTTTCGCATCATGATACAAACCAGGCATAGCAAAGATGCATTACTGCCCCCCACTGGTCACATATAGAATTTCCCAGCATACTGCCCCCCACTGGTCACATATAGAATCGTCACATCCCTACTACATCGTCTAAACTACATAACAAGAAGCACACAGAGAAGCACAGTTGGACCTGCGAAACAACTTGATGTCCTCTTGTCTGTTGTACGAGTTCAGTGATGGCCACTGGTTGGCTAGGTTTTTGGACAGGTGATTGGTGTCACTTGGAATCAAACTGGTTCTGGAAACAAAAGTTCGGGCTCAAATTCAAATCAAGTCGAACACGATCTCCCCGTAACTGCAGTTCAAACACTCACAGTTGCTCCTGAAGCTCCAGGACTATGGTCTCTAGTTCCTTTTTTTCCTGC